TTATAGAATCTAATGTCAAAGCCTTAATTTTTCGACATATTTTGTCTTTGCACTGTTTGGACAGCTAAAGCCAGGGCGTTTACTGACTACGACATTAGTTTAGTAATAAAAGCGCATGATTTATTTGCATTTATTATATTTTAAAAGTGGTTTATATAATACATTATAAAACAAAAAATACTATACACAAAAAGGGAGCAGTGGAGTAGCTATGTTACCAAGGAGTCCGGAGCAAAAATGAAATTGGGACCCTATTCAAACTAAACGAAATTCTTTAAGGATGCAAAACTACTTCATCAGCAGCACATTGCAGGGCATAATCTACTTATTACCTATGTGTAATGCATAAACAATGACGAAGTGACAGTGGAAGAGCTACATGGCAGCTTTTGGTGTCACACAGGTGGGCGTGACTAGATGGAGTGACAACCTGGTAAGACATGAAATGAAGAACTGTATTGAATGGGTGGGTCGGCTCGAACCAGAGAGGTACCACAACCTCACAGAAAACCAGCGTGAAGCGTAAGTGCTGGTGGTCGTAAGCCTAAACCCCCCCCCCTCACGCCTCTTAATATGATAATGTTATTAAATAGGCAACTACCCCAGGAGGATACTGCAACATCAGGGGACTTCATTCGAACGTTAACAAAGTCAAAGGCCTTGCTCTTTCTAACAGAGACGCAGGTGTCCTCTCAGGCCGATACTTCTCTCCTACTCGGGGTACAAATTAGAATACTTTTGTGCCTTGGGCTAGCGTTCGCCTATATGTCAGAGAGGACATCAGTCCTCAATGCCTTGGTAATCTTGATGGTCAGCGACGACATTCCCCGCATCTACGGGTGCCTATAGGTAATGCTGCTACAGACCAACTCATCTACCACGTCCGAATGGCTGCAGATTTCGTGCTACACTAGTTCCCATCTACAGAGATCGTGATCATTTCTTATATTTACGCGAACACTACACATTGAAATAATACTAGTTTTTACGAAATTTATCGCGTATATTTAACTTTTAAATACCCGACGTTTCGAACGCTTTACAGCACTCATGGTCACGGGCAGGACTGAGATGTTCAACGTCCATATGTCATAGTTAACCGCGGTTACCATAGATTAAAATTTATATGCATATTTATATGCTGCATAGATCGGAACAAAAGTAAAATTTTAATCTATGGTAACCGCAGTTAACTATGACATATGGACGTTGAACATCTCAGTCCTGCCCGTGACCATGAGTGCTGTAAAGCGTTCGAAACGTCGGGTATTTAAAAGTTAAATATACGCGATAAATTCCGTAAAAACTAGAATTATTTCAATGAGATTGTGATCCTTAGTGATTTTAACTGTCACCACGCTATAAGCCATATGCTATAAAACAAGAACCAAACATCTGTTTATGACTTACCACTACCCCGCCTAGCCCATGGGTAGCTACGCCATGAGAACGAGTAGGAATCCGTAGACCTTTTATATCTATGGTAAAATTTAGTAGACCCTTTATATTTTATCTATGGTAAAATTTTGTTGGCCTTAATAACCGCCGACAAGTATTTAAGAAAAACCAAATAAAAAAAAATTGACAAGGATAGAGTATTCAAATCTTCAAGATCAGCAAAGCATTTATTCACAAAGATAAAGATTATGCTTTTAAATAGCTAAGTGTAATATTACAAAACATCTAATATTTATTTGGACTTATTTTTATTATTGATTCTGTGGGGTCGTCTCTTATGATAGACCCCGGGTAGCGCGTCTCTGCATACTTGTAGATATTAATTATTATTAATAGGAGTCTGTTGTTATCTCCTTGAGCGTTGAGCGAGAGCGGTTATTATAAATATGATTTTTGATACTTTTATACTTAGACCTTATTACCTGCAGGTACCTTATTCCAGAACTTATACTCTGGAGATGCTCCACATTAATTCAAAAAACCACAATCCGCAATTGACAAATATATTACTATATTTGAGTAATTTTGGTAGTGCAGGCTGAAAATATCAACTTCTGTTGAACAATCTGTTCTATTTCATGTCCGATAGTTTGTTATCCATAAGAATACCTAATTTAATTTACTACTAGTAGGGATTATAAGTCAACTTTTTTTAATAGATGTAACTAGCTGGGCTGAAAGAAATAGTTCTGCCCTTTTTGGTAGTTTACATGTGGGGTTTCACTGAGAGTCTACTCTGAACTAAAATTTACACTGTAAATATGATGGTACAACTATTAATAATTTAATCATAAGGTCATCTATGTGTTTGCGTGAACACGGGTACACTCTCTATTCCCTTACTCCTTCAGCTTCCCATTTCTCGTAGTCTCATGTAACAGAAATTCAACATGGTCGGAGAACGATCAGGCACAGGACCAACGGCTTTACATACTTTTACGTGCACAGGGGAGAAACTCCGCCAACTCCTAATTCTGGGCTGGTACTGAAAAGTGCTTGACCCAATATCAGACTTTAACCCAACTTAGTATTCGAACCTAGGACTTCATCGGTTACCTTATGACCACTAGACCAACGAGGCAGTCAACCAATTTTGTATATAGGCTAAAAACAATGATATTTAGGTGTTTAATAAAAGACTTTCTTAAATATTAGTTAGTGTATCTTCAATTTTAGACTATTCAGTTTTTCTTTGTCATTTAGCTACATTTGGAATTTATCTCAATAACTCTTAATTACTGATTTATTACAGTTGCTTAGTAGACCTCGCCTTCAAGAGTTAGTGCGAGAAGTAGATCCAACAGTACAGCTGGATGAGGAGGTAGAAGAAATGTTGCTGCAGCTTGCTGATGATTTTATAGATACAACATTGAATGCCGCATGTGCTCTAGCAAAGCACAGACATGCGCCTAGTGTGGAGCTTAGAGATGTACAACTACATTTAGGTATGTGACAGAAATAATTTTATTACATGCATGCAAATGATATTTTAAAGCTCTGTTTGCGTGGGTGACTTTTTTATAGCATTGGGTGACAAACAAGCACACAGTCCACATTATAGTAAATGGATGCCGTGGCCCATAGATATACACATTTATCCTCAATTAAGGATCAAAATGCAAATGCATTGTCACCCCTGAGGACAATGCCTCAATTCCAATAAAAAGGGTCTCCATTCTCTACACTCACCATACGAAACACAACAGCATTACACTGCAATTTTACGCTAGTATTCTGTGAGAGCGTGGTCCTGCCCCGGTCTAGCAGACTCTTTCATGCTACAACTATAATATAGCTGCAGCGTGGCTCTACTACGTTAGTTTAAAATTTTATTGAAAAATGGGTGACTATATCCTAATGTGGTGGAGATGGGGGAGGTTTATTCTTCTATAAAAGCTCACGGTGTTACAATATTTGTCACCTCAATCTATTTCACAACTTCCTGAATACTTTTTGCAAACACCATAGTCACATGAAAGGTATTTGCCTTTGTCAGATTTAAAGGATAAATCTGTAAATAAGGAAGCCCCCTAGGTCAAGTTCTGTTTATTATTGATAGTCAGCAATGACTTTATTTTCATTCCTATACCTTTAAATGAGCAATTTATATATATATATATATATATATATATATATATATATATATATATATATATATATATATATATATATATAATCGGAATCTCGGAAACGACTCCAACGATTTTCATAAAATTTAGTGTCCAGGGAGTTTCGGGGGCAATAAATCGATCTAGCTAGAATTTATTTTTAGAAAATGTTTTTTTGTCCGTGTTTTCAGGCAATGAAAAACTGCTACAATATAAGAAGGTAAATTTTGACACTGTTAATAATCGTAATAGCTCAAGTGGATAGCGAGTGGTTGCGAAATCTTAATACCTTGGCTCGCGTCCCGTCTTCGGTCCGACTTTTTTCTTTTTTTTTTTTTCAAGTTCCTTTCTTTTGTGAGAAAACCTATTATTTCGAGCCCTTTTTTAGTATTTTTTAAAAATACGAAAATTTTAATTAAACTAATTGCACTCATGATTTTTATTCAAATAACCAGTTCAGTTTTTTCTATTATGTCAATAAGATCAAAAAATATTATTCATCAGTATGTAATTTGTATCTAAATGTAATTTCAAAAAAAAAAAACCAAGCAAAGCTCGGTCATCTGGGTACTTAAATTTAAATAACAAAGAAACTGCAGCCTAAGGATGCCTCTAACCAAATTAAAACAAAGTAGACTACGGAGAGAGAGAGAGAGAGAGAGAGAGAGAGAGAGAGGGAGAGAGAGAGAGAGAGAGAGAGCTAAACTATTCTTAAATTGATATAAATCTTAATATTTACAAGTAAGACAGTTATTTTAAATTCTTTAATATAAAATTGTGTGATTGAAATTAGGATGTTGATTTAAATGTGATGATTTATAAGAGATATATGCACATTTAATTTACATAAAATGAGTAAATATAGTTCTAGTTAAATCCAATTGGAGCAGAATAATAGAACTTGTCATTGAATAAAAATATATCCATATATAGTTTTATTCAATGTGTAGTGTTTGCGTAAATTAGAAATCATAATAGAACTTCTTTTAATTTAATATCGAATTTTTGATTGATTAGCAAACACAATTGTTTTTTTTTCTTTCACAGAACGACAATGGAACATGTGGATACCTGGTTTCGGCAATGACGAATTGCGGCCATACAAACGCTCCGCTGTCACGGAGGCACACAAACAACGTATGGCTCTTATTAGGAAGACAAGCAAAAAATATTAGTTAAGTTTGCAAAACTGAAAATAAAATCATATGGACAAAGACTGTGTAATATATGTATAGGATACTAAATAAATAATTTTTTACTATATAACCTGTTTTAGTATCTAATGTAAGTAACCTGTAATATTAGTATCTTGGTATTAATCTATTGTTTAACAGATGGACAGGTATAACCAAAATTAAAAACAATAAACGGATAATTTTTTATATTAAGGTATTATAAAAATACATTAACGTATTTGTAAAAAAAAATATTATTTTAGTCTACTTCTGATGACGAATCTAAAAAATGATTATCATCCTCCATTAAAAGTTCATGAGATACGGTGCCAATTTTCATATCCTTCATGAATTCCTCTAATGCAAATCTTATATCCCAATTATGAGATTTCAGTCGGCTGGAACAGTCATGAAATAAATTTTTATTAATAAGAAATACAACTTATTTTAATAAGGTGTCAATACCTTGTCATGGTTGACTACTTGACAAGAATCTCATTGTTAAAACTGGGAACATTATTTGTCATTAGTAGTATAGGACATGATATGCAATTTGAATTTGATTTATTGCAGTGCGATTGTGTAACTAAGGTGGGAATTTGCCAGTGAGTATCACTTCCCTTGTAACCATAAAGATCTAATACATTTATACAATACAATGAATTCAAAGTTCAAATTGAAACCAGCCGATCATGATTTTCACCTGATTTTATAATCACACTGCCAGTTATTGAAGATTTATTCTAAGATATTAAGAAGCCATTATATTATCACATAACAGTATTAGTTATTTTCATAATTTACAAAAATCAAGAATTAATAAGTTACACTTTATAATATTAAATACAGATATGTAAAAGATTATTAATGTAACTTACCGTTCTGCTTCAAACTTCTTTAACATAGTAAGATGCATGAATACTTTGCAAATCTCCTGCGATTCTGATTTATTCGGATTCAAAAGGCTTAACTCATTCATTTTCTTTGTAGGAAACTACAACACACAATAATAATATATAAGTGAGTTAATGTCATTTTACAGTAGGGCACAGGCATCCTCCCACTCTCGAGATTTAGATCTCAATGAAGCTTTAAATTCGGTCAATATTGTTGGGTCCTCAATCTGTATTCTTGGCGGTTCACTACTGTATGTTTCGCAAGGAGTTTTCTTACGCGTACGACCTCTCTGTAGCATCGTTTATCACGTATCATCATTCTAAAAGGCCGACAACGCACCTGCAATTCCTCTGGTGTTGCAGTTGTTCATGGGCGGTGGTAGTCATTTACCATCAGGTGAGCCGTAACGCCCGTTTGTCCCCTCTCTTATAAAAAAACATAGCTCACCTAAGTGCAACTCTCCATCTTTACAGCCTTAATAATCAGCAAATAATTTAAGTAACAGACCCCGAACATGTTCAGGTTAATTGTAGGTAACAAACAGACAGTGTTAAAAGCTTTTAATCTATTTAGAAAAATAATAAGCTATCATAGCTACTTTTTATCTCTTTTATTATGTACGTGGCTTATAAGGTGTTCTATTGTATCAGATATGGATTTTTTCCTCGAAATGCAAAATCCAAAATTTGTTTGAATTCTGAATCTGATGATGAGAAGCAGAATTATCATTTATTCATTTTAACTCCTCTGCTTGGATTGATCATAGGGAAGATATTTGGCATTGTGGCCACGTTTGGCAGGCAAGGCTGCCAACAGCAGTTTTTTTATTATTTTGAATTGTCATCAAGAAGTTGTTGCTGCCTGCCTGTATACTGTTTAATTTCTCTGTGTCGCCTCGCACGGCACCCACGCCATGATATGAGGTAGTTTGATTATACGGTAAACGGCGATATTATTAATGCTACAGTTATCAGCAAATCTTTCAAGATATGAAAGCAATGCTTATATAATTATAACAGCTGTAAAGAAGGAAAAAAGTTTACATAATTCGATTACCTTAAAACTATTTTCTTTTTGTTCCCTTTTGGCCAACGAAATACTGAACATTTCATTTGCAATGTGATAAACAGAGGTTGTATTGACTAGATGTATTTTAAAAATAAAGGTTCTCCTGAATTGAAAGTAATTCACATGTGCGTCCGTTTCACCTTTTTCCTTATAGATTCCATCTACTACTAGTATTAAAATTTTATTCTGTAAATAAATACTTATTCTGTAAACATTATATATAAAAATATATATATATATATATATATATATATATATATATATATATATAGCAAAAAGTACAGTACGGCATAGTCTATAATTACCATGACTTGGGGTGACAAATTATGTTGTTTAACCCCTGAGCTCCTACAAAAATTACAATTATAGATTTTTTTTAAATACTGGTAATGCTATTAAAACATTACTAATATTCCTGTTAACCACTCCAATTACGTTAAAAATGCTTGAGTTAGATAGTTTAGTATCAGGACGGTAGTCGAATGGCGCATTTAAACCTGACACGGAACATTAATAATTGTGCGAGTATAACTTGAACTTCACTGAATTTTTAATGTCCTTACACTGTATAGCGTAGTGCATTAGTATCTATAGTTCAGCAACAGTATTATTAGTTTCAGCAGTTTAGACAATTTCCCGCAAAAAAACCACAGTCGACATAATAATAGTGTTATAATAATTATGATCATTTTAGTTTAAGACCAATAAAATTATACATGTTGTCTATTATTTATAGAAATACACTATTCTATACATCTATCACAGCCTATAATAGTCCACTGCTCTGAATTCGGAATCTGATGATGAGAAGCAGAATTATCATTTATTCATTTTAACTCCTGCTGAACCACAGCGGTGACACTCCCTGTACGTGAGAGTTTAAGCGCCGGTGACCTTGAGTCGAAGCGTGTAACGCTAGGGTTGATATCGAACCGAAATGGGAATATTATAGACTTTTACCAAAGAAGATACATAGTAGGTTTATGTTATATATTATGTAAACTTATGTATTTGGGTAGTGAAAGATACATTCAATTTTAAATCAACTTTTATTAAATATCTACAAATGAGGAATATTAAAACTTCCGACAAAACCAAATATGCACGACAGTTAATGGTAATCATAAATAATTAACCAACACTTAGTATTTCCTACCATCCTTTAAAAATTAGTTTACTCTTATATATTTTTGAATTTTTCGATTACTTATACTATATAATAGTAATATGTAGACCGTCGTATTAAGATATCAGTAATATTCATATATTAATTGAAATATTATAATATCACTTGAATATATTCATATTAACTAATACTGACAAATACCAGTATTAAACTAACCCATCTTTACTACTAGCCCTCGGCCAGGGCAGTCGGCGACTGCCCGTTCCACGCCCCGCGCGCCTCAAGGCCCCCGCGCACATCCATACACCCACACATAGCCGCAAGCGATTTTACATGTACACATGCTTAAGTGTCGTTTCTTTTCGCGTAGTGTATATATTCTTTGGCTGAACAAAAGTCTCCCACACAGATTGCCTCACAGGGGTTTGGGGTTCTGCCATAGTTGCCACGCCTGGCTGGCGGGTTGGCAATCGCAGTTTTTTATTATCCTGAGTTGTATTATATTATTTATTCTATTATATAGAAAAATATAACTTATAAGAATCATTAAAACTTACATTGTGTTGGAGAACATCCACAGTGAAGGTATTTAGGTCGTGTACGGTCTCAGGGAAGGAAGAGAGTATTCCTACAATATTATTTCTACTAATATACATTTTCTTCTTTTGTTCTACTAATATTCTCTTATCGGGATGCATGACATTTCGACACTTATTCGCGTAATGCGGAAACATTAAGTCTAAAACATTTATTTTGTATACACTTTTAAAGAGTTAATAATAGTCAAGTCGACTTTTCAAATATCAAAAATATTTATTTCAAATGCTAAGCTAAGCTATAATATCTATATTACATCTGCTGAATCACACATACCAATTCACACACGCATACGCGCGCTCACTATCACAAACAAATGGCAGCAAACACCCCCACGTACTGGGTCGTATGTAGATATGAAATGTAAATGTATGTACGCTTTGTGGCATTCCTTGCGGGAGGCCTATGTTCAGCAGTGGATTTGTGAAGAGCTGTAATGATGACTATGGTGTTGAAATTGGGCCTTATAAAGTAAGATCAATAACAACAAATTCTAAATTGACTATAAAATTATTTATTTGTATATATTTCTTGTAAGTATAATATTTAAAAAAATATACACAAAAATATTTTTGTTCAATCACTTTTACATACACGTAACACCAAAACTCGTTTGATATTGTTGCGCGTCACAGTTGATGGCACTAGCGCCATCTGGTATCAAGTATCAGAAATAGGAGTGTCAAGATCTTTCTGGAACTCTCCCAACAGCGCCATCTAGTAACGAATAGAAGAATTAAGCTTTCTAGAAAAGTCCACACTCGAACTTTCTGCACTTAGTCGGTCGGGACCGGTATTTGTTGGAACATTCCGGATGTTTTGGTGTAAAAGGCGTATTTAAAGCCGCTGAGGGCCGCGACCGGAGTGAAATAAAGTGAACTAAAGTGATCATTGTGATTAAGTATTAGTTTTAATTGGTGTTCAGTAATTAAAGTGTCAATTTTGGTAATTCAATCGGCAGTCTTTACTGTCACGAACCTTAAGCTCGTAACAATGTAACAATATTGAGGTGAATGAGTCTAACTTGATAGACATTATGATTTCTTATATTTACGCGAACACTATACATGATTAAAACTACTTTTACGGATTTTATCGCGTTTATTTTTACTTTTTATTTACTTTTATTAAGCTATTGCATAGCTTCTATTGCGGGCCTTGAGTGCGGGAAAATCCAGAAATTTCGTAACGAAAAAAACCTCACGCTCTCCGACGGGCACGGAGGTGTGGCTTGAAGGCCGTGCATTGTCTAACGATGGTCTAACGTCGTTTCTTTTCCTCAGTCTTCGACACGGTGTTTGTGTATAAAGTGTTTTGAAATTTTGAATATGAATGAACAAAGTGCATTTATTATTAAGGCTGCTCTCTCGCAAAAAGCTTGAAAAAAGCGTGCAGATGAACCAACTTTTCGTCGACACTTACAGAGAAATTACATATGAAAAAAATAGCTAGTAATCTACATGATCTGATACGTAATTTGGTTTAGCCATAATTTTTCTATCGGTGTCACATAATAAATAAAAAAATACCCAAATCACCTCCAAATCGTTGAGATGAAACCACTTTACTCCTTCATTGTTTATCAAAGGAATATAAAAAAAATATCTACTGCTTTGCAATACAAAATAAAATAATTTGGTTTGGTTACTTTTTAGAAATATGTATTATTTTTATGATAATAAATTAAAAATGCGTCCCGATTAAATATTGCGTCTATATCACCCCCGCATTCGTCCACGAATTCAGTGCGGGGCGCATCGTGTTGCTAGGTGGACGTACGCCGCGTTGCGAGAGCTCAGCACTACGAAATAAAATCGTAAAATATTATTACTGCAAAAATTTAATTTTGTTAATAGTGGAGTAGGTTTTTTCTGATTCTTGTTTAATAGTAGTGTTTTATAGTTATATTAATTGTACAGTTTTCTTAATGTTTAAGTTTAGTTTGTAAAACATGGGAAATAAGCAGAAACGATTGAAGAGAGGTCTAAAAAAATATTACAAACAAAAGGGTATACATTTATCAAGGTAAGTTTTATCTACATATTTCATAATATTAGACAGGTGCTGTTTATAAAATACCTATATTACTGTGATTTCGCCACTCTGTGACGAGACAAAGCGCGGCAAACGCAAGTGGCGGCAAGGCGCGGGCCGCGTCGTCGCATGCTGGTAGCGCATGTCTGAGAAATTAAAAAATATATATTTCGAAGTAATGTGAAGTTCGTCAACACGCATTGAGGCAGCGTGGCGGACATTTCCTTGCCTTAAAACCCTCTCAGAAATTAGAGGAGGCCCGTGCCCAGCAGTGGGACGTATATAGGCTGTAACTTTACTTTTTTTTTACTTTTATAAATATGTTATTTTACCGACGAAAATTTTAAAGAAAAATAAAAAATAAGCAACCGACAACCTCCTAGGTCCCTAGGTGACTTGCGAGATGTCAGTGTAACAAAACAAAACGGCCCAGAAAAACAGACTTTCCAACTGATAGCTAAATCAGCACGCAAAAATTTCATTGGTGCCAGTGGGGATCGAACCCGGGTTGCTCCCGTACTGTGATACCTATAACGAGCGCTAACCATGTGAGCTACCACGGCTCTCAACGACATCGTTCCGTTCGTGTACAGCGCTGAAGATAGCAGAGTAAAAAATTAGAGATTGTGGTGTTTGAAATTTGTCATCTGTGAGAGTGAATTTTATCTGTGTACTCTGTAACAAATAACTATATAGAAAAAAATCTGAAAATGATATTTCGCCATTTTTGTTTGTGTACTGGTTAGGAACTCGATCAAAAATTTGATAATTTTTCTGTTTTTATACGTTATTTCTAATGTTGTCCCCGAGTGCCACACGTCTTTTTTTAATTCCCGACGTTTCGGGCGCTTTCCAGCACCCATGGTCACGGGGGACTGAGATGACTGACGTCCCGATGTCATTGTTAAACCCGGAGTACCTTCAGCTTTTTTAAACAATAATTAAACCATAAACAATAATTAAAAAAGCTGAAGGTACTCCGGGTTTAACAATGACATCGGGACGTCAGTCATCTCAGTCTCTCGTGACCATGGGTGCTGGAAAGCGCCCGAAACGTCGGGAATTAAAAATAAAAGTAAATAAAAAGTAAAAATAAACGCGATAAAATCCGTAAAAGTAGTTTTAATCATTGATAGACATTAATGATAATGAACCAGAGAGAACGAAATAGCTGGTAGTCTGGGAAGTATGGTGGTTAGGGAAGGACAACCTAGCCAAAAGAAAGTATTTATCATGACTAGCTCTCAACATGCATACTCATCTCGACAGCATGATCAAAGAAAAATTAAGTTATATCTTCTTCATCAATCTGTGAAAGACAACATGGTCCTTTCTAGTTATGAGATTTGCCTTAATCAGATTGACATCCGGCGTAGACAAGATTTTTATAGCACTTTCAATTGAAGCCATATTATTCTTGCATTTCCTATAGTATGTCTATTACGCTGCCACCACCTGATTAGCGTGGCAACTGGCTACAATGGCAAATCAAGCTATTTTGGAAACCTATGTTCCAGCAGAGGATTTTTGATAGGCTGTAATAAATAAGGATTATACGAACAGTTTTGAAGTCAATAATTATAGCATTAAAATAATGTACACGTGGGCGATGCAGAATTAGGTTTTTAATTTTTGTGTTTTAAATTATAATTTTGTTCTTGTTTCAATATATATCGATAAACTATATTTGTTTTGTAAACAAATATGCAACGTATGCGCAACGGACGCGCAGCCGGTGTACAATTAAAAAAACTAGGTAGGGTAGGGGTTAAGTCGATTTTGTAAGTGAAATTGTGCACAAGTTCTGTTTACAAGTTTGTAAAGATTTTGTAGAAATAAACTGAGCTTATGAACAAAGTCAGAATTATTTATCTGCAAGGAAAGTCATAGTACATATTACCTATATTGATTAATTAAAAATTTAGCTTTTGTAGCTAACCTGAATTAAACTTACTAGATAAATCAGTAGATATAGTCAGAACGGCAGAAATATCATAAAACATATCTATCTTCGTACGGGGCACCGTGTCATAATGCGAAAAATATAGCGTCATGAAATTTTCAACCACCATTTTAGTCTTTTTATCGGGAGTCTCCATGAAGTATTTGGCATATGGGCACAAAATGCCATATTGGTTTACTTTGACACCATCCTGGAAATACATGACAAAGATGAGAATGGTTGTTAAATAAAAATTGTGTGGTGTGGTGTAAGTTAATTATAATTATACCACATAAAGTAAATCAACAAATCAGAAAAATGTTTTGGCCTTCAATAGATGGTAATATTTTTTTGTAGCCAAGGATAGAACATAATATATATTTTAAGTGACACTGAAACCTTGCTGAACTTCTTGACATGCAATATAATATTATAATTAAATTAAATAAAATTTTACTGCTGGACGTTGCACATAAAACCATGTTGTTGGTTGTAAATGATTTTAGATGAACGTCGGTGTGTGTGTGTGTGTGTGTGTGTGTGTGTGTGTGTGTGTGTGTGTGTGTGAGAGTGCATGTTCTTACAAGTTGATGGATATATATACACAGCAAATTGCATGGATTTGACATCACTTGAAATATATGCAGCATTCCTGCTGTCTCTTTTTAGGTCTGAAGTATGCCATATGAAAATTTGACAGAACGGCGCGACGACAGCGAGCAGCATCAAAGTACCTACACTTATGGTACTGCAGTAACCTATCAGCCTGTAGATGTGGCGATTATGGTACATCTTCCTTTTTATAATAAAGAATTCCATCTTTCCATGTTCCGTAGACTGCTTACAGTATATTGAAGCAAAGTGAGAAAAGATACATACAAAGTTTACCACTGCTAGAACATTCTCGGTCCAGTGCTGTCGCTACAGGCATGCTACTGCTGTAGAAAAAGAAAACTTCTTAACTACCTGACTTTCTCTGACCCTATTACATAATCCAATTATTGAACAATGAATTTATAAACCTATACTTAGTTGTTAGTTTTTATTATACCACTAGATTGCAACAACACTTAACATCAGGAGGGACCATAGTCAAACACTAACATATTTAAAAAATATATTTATCATAGTTGTTAGGTTAAACATGGGTCTGACTCTCGTTGTTATTTACTACTATGTTGATTCTCCTTAACTTTCTGACACTGTCACTGGTTGTGGCAAAGTTATTAGTTTTTACTTTTATTTCTTTACACTTACCAGTTCTGTCAATCTTGGAAACCTTACTAGAATTTTTTTTATATATGTTCCTATGTCCATATCTTGGCATAATGGATTTCCTTCCAACCAAAGTTTTTCTATTTTGCTGCTAACTCTAAATTGCTGTTCAATTGATGGTATCTGAAATAGGTAACAACAATAAAAACATTTATATATCTGGTACAAATTTTATGTGGTAAATCATTGCTGCAGGTGTTTTATGGTAGGAATGGTCGGCTTACGTGTGGAAAGGCAGGAGCACAGACTTTAACAGAACATAGGTGAGAAATAGCAGCATAATGCTGATGTATATTTTGTATGATGAATGATGAGGACCAAACTACTAACTAGGCACTCCATTTTAGTCCTCAGTAAAGACAAGGCATCTGCACTTTGCTTCTTGATTGAGTACAGATTTTACAGCTTAATATCACAGCATTCACTTACTATCAGATTATTTATGAGCTTATTTGTCACCATTACATTTTATTTAAACACAATACACTTATTTACTTATTTTGAAGAAGAAATAATTGAAAAAATGTAGATAACTCTCCAACATAATCTCACTCTCTCTCAGGGTGATTGAGGAATATACCCTATCATATCATATCCCTGCTGAGTATAGTGCTAATACAAATGCGGCAGCAACTGAGAAGGCATTTTATTTAGTAGTAAAAAAAAAGTAAAACTCAAGTCAACAACCACGGTGCAAGGCACGTGAATGAGGTTGACATTTGTTGGAAAAAGAGTTATAAATTCAAATTAAATTTTTATATTAAAGAAAATATTATTTTCAAAGAAACTTACATTATTGTTACTTAAATTGAGGCCAATTAATTCTCCTTTAATGAAGAAATTCAATATGTCTAATGGTACTTCACTGAAAATTAATGACAGTATATAAAACATGAAAAAGTCTAATGAATTTATTACAACAAATGATTCATACATTAAAAATAAGACTTTTTATAGTTCTATAATTCATGGAAAATGGAAAATTGTAAGGTAAAATAACATCAACGCTCTTTTTGTGCAGAATTGTACTAAATGAGGTATCCTATAATGTAATCCATGGCATCTACCCTTTGGTTTTCTATTGTGAGTCCGTTCGGCCCTATAGAGCAATATATTTATCATTGAAACAATATTTAGATTTGCATTTATAGCATAAAGAAAATGAATTTTAACCATTTCAATAAATAGCGATCAGCCTGACTTTTACATCATGAGTCCTGAGTCAAACCTTAGCCGGAGCTCACAAATTGGTAGATTTCAAGGTGGATCACATAGTGATTGTTCATGTGTCTCTGACATGACGTCACCTCTGATCTCAACATACAAGCAAAACATTGGACTGACAGATTATTTATCCTTAACTAAACAGGTAGCTAAGGATGAGTTATCTGATATCTAAAGCAATTGGCAAGTGTGGTGTGATATGCATGAAACAATCGACAAGCGATTTTCAAATGGTGTAGTTCTGTTAAAATGGTTACAGTTATATTTTGTATCTCATCAAGCAAAAATATATGAAACAAATATATTATGCAAGGACAAGTCAGGTATTGCTGTCACACCACTTCTGCCCTTAACTATAGTGGGCAAGAATATAGCTTATCTTCCGTACAAAGAAAGGCTAGCTTTCAATAGTATTCGGAAGTCATAGCCACAGTGGAATATCAACAAATTTGAAAAATCTAAATTTTTGATAGATAAAAGATAAAGTAATAATAAACTGGTAAGTGGCTTTTTTAGAGAAAAGAGATCTGTGTACAACATAAGACATACATATAAAGTTGTTTTTTTTTCTAATAACTCATGGCTCAGTTTGTATCTTCATCTTAAGTCAAGGGTGATAGAAAGCATCTAATTGCTTACTAAACTAACACAATAACTTACTAAACTGTTGGGGCAACATAGGACACAAGATGCATATAGAAATTTCATAAAACTAACAATATCTTTAAGAACTATCAAAAAATAATAAATTTTATAGTATTGGCAGATACCATTAAATTAGTTCTTATCTTATATATACTTTAGCTGTTACTTTAACTTTGCTTAAAATTTAATCACTTCATCACCCCAAAAATATATCAAATAATATTTTATAAAATGCAATATTACTTAATTAATCCATACAAGGACTGCTCTATGGCATAATGGCTTAACATTGTGGCACTGAGGGTCATGGGTTCTAATTCCACATTGTACAACTATTTGTATAGCCAATCAATAATTGCCTAATTGTGAAATTTTTGTATGTTAACTGCCTCCACTATAAAGGAGATGCATCTGGTTTTGGAGTAGTGATTATTTTTAATTAAATAAAGATAAGTAAACATACATCAATTCATTGTCACTTAAATTTAAAACTTTTGTATCTCTTCCCATCCTTAACATTAGTATTTTAAAATTTGCAAGTAGGCCCAGCTTATAGAAGTTAAGTTTTGTTCTGATAAACTCTGAAAGGAAAATAGTAAGGTTTTAATAATTAAAGTCTAAAATTTCATCCCATATACTAATTTCTAATTCACTTTATAATACATGTAAATAACTTAAGGAAAATACAATATAGGGACTGACCTGGATCATTGCAAAAATTTGATAAATTCAACTCCATCTTCTCATTAAATCTGTTACAAACAACTGATGATACAATGTCTTCTATAGAGGACCTGATTTCAAAACAATCTGCTGATGTTTTATCATTGAATAGAATGTCCACATTAAACATACTTCTTCGGTATGGAAACATAAAATCCAGTTTGACTATTTTAGAGACAAGGGTAAGACTGCTTGTATAAAAAGAGCATATCTCATTTTTTGCCAGATAATCTACTGGTATAAATAAGGTATTAAAATATTCACTGACAATATTAAAAAGCTGTATGTCATCTTCAATCCAGTTGTGAACCTAGAAAATAATAAATAATGAGGATTATAACATTGACAATTAATATAGTTAACAATTAGCTTATAATATAAAGACACCAGAATACGATACATTTTATTTTTTAGAAACATATTGCAATTTTTTAGCAAAAAATAAAGCAACTTACCATTGTAACCTTCACAAAAATAGAATAGTGTTAATAAAAAGTAAAAAAACAATATTTTAAAACTACAGCGCATGCATAAACATCTTACCATAATTTTATGAAAACAATGTTTTGAAGATTCATCGTCGCTTATAATTTTATTTTCTAAATAATCAGAGAAGTCTTTTGAGGCAGTTACTCTGTTTAAGAGGAATTTGCGGTAGGTAGCTATTCTGGACATTTTCTTTATCAAAGATAATCATCCATTTATCTTAGAAATTTCATGAAAATTACTGAATATATACAGGGTACGTACTCTACACTTCATGGAGTATAGTACAGGAAAGTAAATATCAATAATAGTACCATAGTACCTCTACACTCCATATTCTCTAGTACATAGTCAGTAATCTATGCTCCATATACATACACAGAGTACCATAGATTACTGTGGTTAGAACAGTGTTGCCAAACTTTTTTCACCTTCCCCCTAGATTTTTCCAAAAAACCCCTAGTTTCCCTATGTAGGGGGATAAAAAACCTCTGAATTTTTATTCGGTCAAGTTTCGTGTGAATCAGATTTATCAAAATTAAGTTTCTACTATATACAAGCTACGTACTTAGACCATTAATCCCAATGGACGAGTAATGCGCCTAATGCTACGAATAAAAAAGTCTGTCACTTATGGTGCGGGGGAAGAAACACTACATAGACAGTACTGCACACCTACTCAATAAAATTTTGTGTCACTAAGGCACACACAAATATAAATCTCCAACACTATTACATTTTATGCACATGTAATAGTGTTGGAGACATGTAGGTTGAATATATTAATATAGAAAAGTTATGAGTATAAAACGGACAAATTAATTGCGATACTACCATATCGATATTTTATATCGATAATGAATTGTCGGCACTGTCTGTTTGGAAAAAGAATTCAGAAGTTGGTAAGACTAGTGAAAAACCTTCCGAACAACCCCTAGATTAATTTCGTGGTATTAAAACCTCTAAAAAACCTCAACGACCTCGAAAAACCCCTAGATTGAGGAAAAACTTCTAGATCTGGCAACACTGGGTTAGAAGGTTAGAACAAAAAATTGACTATGGAGTGTAGAAGTAAGGAGTAGGTACCAACTCCCATAGTAGAATAGTTAAAAAAGTGGCCATCTGTAAGCAGTAAATAACAGATCAAAAACTCTCCACAACAGCGCTGGAGTAGCTACTGGGATGAAATGAACTTAGCAGTTGTCGACGGTTTGAAGTGTGCTTTTTTCTCACCTGATTTTAAGTGACTACCACCGCCCATGATCAGCCGCAACACCAGGGGAATTGCAGGTGCGTTGCCGGCCCTTTAGAAAGGAGTACGCTCTTTTCTTGAAGGTCCCCAGGTCGTATCGGTCCGGAAAAATCGCTGGTGGTAAACTATTCGACAGAAAAGTTGTACGCGGAAAAACGCGAAAACTCCTCTTGAAACGTACAGTGGTGGACCGCGAAGCATCCAGATGGTGTGGATGGTATCGGGACGTTTGCCGCGTAGTGCGTTCACGAAATTTGGCGGCTGGGATTAATCCGAACAATTCCTGAGAGCACTCTCCATGGTATATGCGAAAGAAAATGCAAAGAGATGTAACATCTCTTCGCAGTGCCAGTGAATCGAGCCGATCGGAAAGCACTCGGTCGTCCACGATTCGAGCCGCTCTGCGCTGGATGCGGTCAAGTGGAAGGAGCTGGTACTGGGGAGCCCCACCCCAGAGATGGGAACAGTATTCCATGTGCGGCCGAACCTGCGCCTTGTAAAGTTGCAGGTGGTGTGCCGGCATGAAATACTGTCCCGCTCTGCTGAGCACGCCAAGCTTTTTAGAGGCCAATTTGGCCTTCTCTTCCAAGTGACCACGAAACTGCACGTCACTCGATATGTCGACGCCGAGGATTCCGATACTGGCTGAGGCAACAAGGGAAGTGCCTTGAAACTGAGGGGATACGACAAAGGGGTTCTTTTTAGCGGTTAACGCGCAAACTTGTGTCTTCTGGGGGGTTAAACTGGACTAGATTTAGTCGCCCCCAATCCGAGACTCTGTTCAGCAAAGACTCGACATCAGACACAAGTTTGTCCCGGCACTCGGAGACGTCTCCCGAGAAATATTGGCTCGGCCGGTGTAAAGAGCATCACCAGTGCTGTCATCTGCATAGCAATGATTGTTACGGGTTTGCAACATATCATTGATATGCAGAAGAAACAGCGTTGTCGATAGCACGCAGCCTTGTGGAACACCAGCATTAATAGGCTTGTAATCGGGAGCTTGCACCGTCTACAACGACCTTGATGCCCCAATCTGCAAGAAAACTGGTGATCCAATCGCACAATTTCTCGGGAAGCCCATAGGAAGGGAGCTTAGAAAGAAGCGCTTTGTGCCAAACCCGATCGAAGGCCTTCGCAATGTCCAAACTAACGGCCAATGCACTCCCTTGGACTCTACTGCCTCCGGCCATCTTTGAGTTAGGTAGACCAGAAGATCACCAGATGACCGACCACGGCGAAAACCGTATTGGCGGTCACTAATCAGCTGGTGATCCTCAAGGTACCTCATGAGCTGGCAGTTTACAATGGACTCCATAGTTTTGGAGAACAAGGAGGTGATGGCGATTGGCCGGTAGTTGGACGGGTCAGAGCGGTCGCCTTTTTTAGGGATCGGGTGGACGAAAGCCGGCTTCCATGATTTTGGGACTACGCCTGAGGAGTAGTAGTACCGGAAAAGACGCGTTAAAACCGGTGCCAACTCTGGAGCACACGTCCTCAGCACAATTGGGGGGGGGGATTCCGTCAGGCCCACTCGACTTGTGGATGTCCAGGGAGAGGAGTGCTTTGCGAACCGAGCGCTGTGTGAACTGCACTTCCGGCATGGAGCACTCACACCGCGGGATGGTCGGCGGCGTACTCCCCCCGTCATCGAGAGTCGAGTTGGACGCAAAGAAAGAGCCTAGAAGATCGGCTTTCTCCTTTGCGGTATAGGCCAGTGAGTCGTCCTCCCTGTGCAGAGATGGAAGCATCTCTTCCAGAAATTCCCCTGAACAGCCTTGGCGAGAGACCAGAATGCACGGGTTCCAGAAGGAAGGCGAACTAATTTCTCGCTGATTCTGCCTATGTGCTCTGACTTTGCCTTGGCAATGACTCTTTTGAAGGACCTAGAGGCGGATTTATACTTCTTTTTGAGAGCGCTGGTGTTTACATCCCGGGACGCTGATGCGTCAGCCCAGGCTTGGTAGCACTCCTGCTTATATCATGATGCTATTTTACAGGAGCGACCAAACCATGGCTGAGATTTGCCTCCACTGGGCACCACAGAGGAAGGAATAAAAAGTTCCATACCCTGAAGTACCACATCAGCATCCGCAACAACGTTGGGATCGTCCGGCGAGAAGCAAACCCGCCCCCAAGGGTAGGATGCAAAGAAAGACCGCATCCTATCCCAATCGGCTGACTTATAGTGCCAAACACGGCGGCAGCCTGCAGAATGCAACTGCGATTTCAGCGTGAGTGGCACCACACTCCGAACAAGACAATGGTCCGAGGAGCCTAAAGGGGCGTCGACGGAAATCTGATATCCGTCCGGGTGAGAGGTCAGCAGAAGGTCCAACAGGGAAGGTGCATGATCCTCCACATCTGTAATCCGCGTAGGCGAAGTAACCAGTTGTGTTAGACCATATGCTAAGGCAATATCATGAACAGATCTCCCCGCATGATCGGCTAAACGTAAACCAAGCGATTCGGCGTGGTGGGCGTTAAAGTCGCCGAGGATCACGATCTCTACGGAGGGGATCTGCTGTAGCAACGAATCTGTAGCCATTTGGACGTGGTCGAAGAGTCGGTCTGTTTCGGCATTACCGCTATGGGAGAGGACACCTGCGTCTCGGTCAGAAAGAGCAGAGCCGGCCTCGTCGTCTCGAGATGGTAGTGGACGGCGTTTAGGTTAGAGTGAAGTCCCCTGATATTGCAGAAATTCACGGACAGCGTGGCAGGGGTCGCCTTGGTCTTGTTGCTCCGTTTGCCCCGAGCAGTGGTAGTCTTGAGGGAAATTTTGCCCCCCCCCCCCCCCCCCAGAATACGCGGGGTAGCCTGAGCACCCACGCTCAGAAGTGGAGAAACATGGTCGTGGATGCTCAGCGAGGGATTCCCCAGGGGTGCTGGTACCCTTCTGAGGTAGTCTATCATCATTTAATTCCGCTACCATGTTGATGGGGGCAGGTGGGGGGGATTCGGGCCTCCGGCCACCAACTTAACTGCTCAGTAGCTCTAAAATCTAAAATAATTTTATTTAGTAAATATAACCTCGAAAAAGTCGTCTATCCCACTAATATTTTTCGGTGCGTTCTTTAAAGTTTACCCCGTAGCTTTAGTGGCGGCACACTTAAATTACAGTAGCACACTTAAACCGTCGACAACTGCTAAGTTCATTTCATCCCAGTAGCTACTCCAGTGCTATTGTGGAGAGTTTTTGAGCTGTTACTTACTGCTTACAGATGGCCATTTTTTCAACTATTCTATTATGGGAGTTGGTACTCCTTACTTTACACTCCATAATTTATTCCCAGACTAATAAGAGGATACAGGAACAGGATCTGCATTCTGCATAGAGGAAAGTAATCTTAGAACAAAAAAATAGCCCTTATTTTCAACCAAAGACAAACGGTAGCTTAGAATAATACCCCTATACACTACATTGAACCAGTGCCCCTAAAATCGTATTTTTTATTTTTTCCTAGTTTTTCCAACTTCCTACGGATTCTGCCAGCGTCAAGTTTCATGAAAGTCACACAGAGTATTCGACTAGTTTCCGTTTCCGTAGAAATGCTTACTTAGCTTTATGATACGAAGTTACTTAGGTAGTTATATATATATTATTTTCGAATGAATTAACATTTTATAGTGGTTTTACAAAATTATTGCTAATATAATAAATAATAAAATGGAAAGAGGTAAGTGGTAAAACTACTATAATTTTGTGTTATTAACGGATATGAAGTCTGATAAAGTTTGTACAAAAGGAGTGTAAACTAAATTTAACAAAGACTTAAGATTTTTAGGGCGAGGGATGTTATTAGGAAGGAAATTGTACAGTGAAACGTAGAGGTTAGGGCAGTTAAAAATTTATGATCAATCGTACCTTCGTCTAATCCACCCTCACAAATTGAGCTATCTATAATCTTAAGTTTTGTCAAAAATACAGGTGAACAAG